ACAAAATTATCATTCAGGAATAACAGTATTCTTGCTAATAATATGTGAAAATTTAATTTTTTAACTGAAATATTTTATTATATGTATCTTTTTCTCTTAGAAGTCATCAAAGGTTGTAACATTTGATTATGTCCATGATTATCAATTATTCTAGCTATATAAATTTGTTTAAAATGAAATGTTGTTTACCTGAAAAATACCTACTTAACTCAAAACTACCAAAACATGCATTTATAAAATATCTTATTAAACAAATGTAAGTTAAAGAGATCATCAGCAAATCATTACAAATTCACAGAGTAACATCTCACAGAGCAGCTACCTAGAACAACATCAGCAGTTTCTACCAAACAACAGTTACTTATGTCTGAACTTAGTAATTGATTTGCTAATGATACTCTTCAAGTTTGTTAGACCTTATGCTGTAGTCTGTCTATAAAGGTCTTCATGTTATTTACACTAATAAAACATTAATCAAGGGCAAAATTTATAGCAGCTACTCTATAAATGAGGTCAAGGCAGGTCAGACTTACATAATAAGAAGAAAAAAAGGTTAGTCTTTGCAGTAAAAAGAAAAATCCTTATTATTATTCTTCCTGCCCCTGGGATTAAGTCTAGTAGTCAAACACTCCAAACTATTTCAAAAACACATATATTCCTATGAAAACTCATTTAACCTCAAGCACTAATTATTTATAAAAGGAAAACCAAATCCACTGATTTAGAAAAATAACCCACTAAAATTTTCCTTTAAAATATATTCTACACTGTATGTAAATAGCGAACGAAAATTTCCAATTTTACCTGCACTATTTCACTAACGAATCTTATTTTCCATCACTGTTTATTTCAAACACTTACTTAAAAGAAATAAGGCTGAGTGTTCTCTATAGGCTAAGAACTGAAGTAAAGAAGGCAGTTTCTAACTATGGGAGGCTAAAATATCTAAACAGAAGAAGAAAAGCAAATGTAAGAAATCAGAGAGCAGGTACTATGAAAACGGTAACAGATGATACAGAAATAAGTAAATTATTCAAACAATTGTTTCATCAAATTTTCAGCAATAGCAATGCCAGAGTATTAGCATTTGTGCCAGTACCTCCAAGTCTCAGTTCCTACAGAGTTACATAGGTCCAGGAGACACCTGTACATGTAGTAAAGTGTGTTACAAGAGAGGAACTCTGAGCTTAGGGCACTTCAATCTTTTATGATGGCCAGTAGGTCTGTTGGTCTTTGGCTCAGAGAGAGACATTATCATTATTATACTAGACAGTAAACAATTCTGCTTTGTTCCAAATAGAGACACTATTTCTATATTCCAAAGCTGTCTGCTATATAAAGATCTTTCAATGACAACGCAAAACAAAGGCATTTGGTATCTCTACCTACAAGGCCAAAAATTTTAAGAGTGATGCCTGGCTTTCTCTCAAGACCCACATCCGAATCATTAGGATAACCTGTCAGGTCTTATCTTCAAAATTAGTCCATAATCCTGCCATTTCTTACCTCCTCTACTGCTAGCAACCTTGTCCCAGTCACCATCATGTTTAACCACAATTACTACGATAGCCCCCAACTGATCTCTTTGTCTTTATTTACTTTTTTTTTTTTTTTTTTTTTGAGACAGGGTCTCACTCTACTGCCAATGATGGAGTGAAGTGGTGTGAACATGATTCACTGCAGCCTTGACCTCCTGGGCTCCAGTGATCCTCCTGCCTCAGCCTCCCATGTAGCTGGGACCACAGGTGCATGCCACCGCACCCAACTAATTCTTTTTATTTTCTATAGAGACAGGGTCTCACTATGTTGCCCAGGCTGGTCTCAAACCCTTGGGCTCAAATGATCCTCCCACCTCAGCCTCTCAAAGTGCTGGAATTAAAAACACAACCTACCACATCTGGCTGATCTCTTCACTTCTATCCTTAACTTCCCACATGCATCAGTCATAGTAATTTTTTCCTCCAGACAGGATCTTGCTCTATCTCCCAGGCTACATAGTAGTAGCACGACCACAGGTCATTGCAGCCTCGTCCTCCTCGACTCAGGCAATCCTCCCACCTCACAGCTCTCTGAGTAGCTGGTACTACAGGCACCTGTCACCATACCAAGCTAATTGCATTTTTTGTAGACAGGGTTTCACCATGTTGCCAGGCTGCTTTTGAACTCCTGGGCTCAAGTAAGTTATCCACTTCAGCTTCCTAAAGTGCTATAATTACAGGTGTGAGCTACTGCACCTGTCCAAGAGAGATCTTTTTAAGCTGTAAGGGAGATGCCTTCCTCTTCTCAAAATCGTGCAATGGCTGTCATCTCCCACAAAATAAATTACAAAGCTTCTACACAAAATCTTGCCCTATGTTATCTCTCCGACCTTACTTCCTATTTCATTCTACTTTAATCACTCTTTTCTTTCTATATTAGCCTCATTCCTCAAATATACCAAGGAAACTGACACTTGTACACTGGCTATTCCTGAGGCCTGGAATGCTTTTATATATATGCCCCTATAACTGACTCCTGTGTGCTTCAAGTGCTTGCTCCAGTGTTACTTTCTCAATGAGCCCTAATCCTACCACTCTATTTAAACTGCAAACCATACCAATACCTTTTTCCCTTACTTCAAAAATTTCATTCCCCTCACCTGCTCCACATTTTCTTTTCCCATAGTACTGAACAATATTATATTATTCACATATTATATAACCTACTTATTTTATTGTTCATAATCTGTCAATGCCTATTTGAATATACAACCCACAAAAAAAGAATCTTTATCTATTTTGTTTCTTGCTGTATCCTCAGTACCCAGAACAATTCCTGGGACATAGTCAGTGTATAATAAATAGATGAGGAATTGAAGCTCAAAAAGTAAAAGTACTTGTCAAGTATCAAAGCTGAAATATGAACCTAGGGCTATCTTCAAAGCCAATGCTCTTAATCATAGGTCTATGTTGCCTCACCTATTAAACGTAACAGTAACATACATAAGAGCAGTTATACTTAGTAGAGTCTACAATAATCAAAATCACTTCATATAAATTTTTCTTTAAAACAAAGCCAGGAATTATACTTCAATAAATCCTAAAAATTATAGAAAGTCTGTTTATGGGTGTTTTGCATTAAGTAGAATATTTGTGTATTTAATCAACAGCTCTAGTCACCTCTTTTTCTATATATAAACTTCAATATCATATATTGAATGATATATATACATATATATATATATCATGAATCATATCTATATATAAACTTCAAAACCAATACCTCAGTGTTGAAATCAGCCAAAAGCTATTTTTCAATAAATATAAACTTTGAAATGTTTACTGAAAGGAAGAGTAAAGAATTAGTCATTAATTCATTCACTGCCCTATGAATTAGTTCTTATGGCTATAAATCTATATCAGTTTTTATTGATCACCTACTACTTGCCACACTCTACATGGAAACTTAGCTCTATGTTTCATACAGATCATTGTAGTAACCTTGCAATTGTTCTTCATTTCAATCAGGACTTCCCTTCTTTAACCTATTCTAAAAACTTCTGCCAGTTATCTTTCCAAGCCCCAAATATCATAATGACTCTCTTTTGTTTAAAATTTTCCAAGGGTTCCCACTCCCTTGAGAGATCTAGATGCCCAATCCCAACAACACCTCTCCAACACACACACACACACACACACACACACATACACACACACACACACACACACACACACACACACACACCCCCTATATACCTGCCCACATTACAATGCCTTCAGATATTCTGTTCCCTGGGTTTGGAATGATTTTCATACAAACATCCTCCAATTTTTCCATAACCTCCAAATTACTAATGTTTATATGACAAATCATACTGACCCTTGAAATGCATCTCAAGAATCATTGTTTCCTGGTTAAGTTTTACCTGATTCTTCCACACTCAGTTGAGGACTCTCTCTTTTTCTTAGTACTCCATAGTACCTTAGTACCCCCCTTAGTGCTTTCTTAGCACCTTGTACTTACATATTTCTATCACAGAATTTAACATTAAGTATTATAATTGCAGGTTACTGGTCTGTGAGCACCTGTAATTATTTCTGAGGGAAAGGGTTTTAGTAGTAGTATTTAAGATCAAATAAAGTTACAAATACTCTTTTCTCCCTTTTCTAGAATATTTATGAGAGATAGAGAGCAAACCTGGATTCCTAGATGCAAGTTCAAATAGTTACCAAAGGACTGATAAGGTCAATCTTCCAACAACATTGCCCAAATCACTAAACAAACACTGCTGAAACAATAAGTTTGTTCAGAATACTGTCTGCAAGGGGAGTCAGTCACAGCTTTTTAACTATACTCCGGGTCTTCAGTTTCATTAATGCAAAATCAGCTACTACAAATCAGATGAAAAGTGGTCCACTAATCATTTCCTCAATTTCCTTGTACCTTTTAATTCTTTCACTCTTTTACATTTGTTTTCTCCCTTTTATCTCTCTTTTCACCTCTGCACTTTCTTCCCTTCTCTTACCCGCCACTAAATTTTCTTTGCTTGAATTCTTCTGTTTCTGCTCTTTAAATGAAAAACATACCTACTTATTTCCTCTATCACCTTTCTTACCACATCACATTGTAAAACTTGTCCCCCCTCCTCTTATGGTCAGCCTGTGATATAAAAAAAACAATATACACATCTAATTCTAATTAATGGTTCTATACACATAAAAGAACTTTATAGGAAGTCCAAATAAGTATGGCTTTTCCTTATACCTGCAAATAGATTTATCAGTTTACTTTTCCCAAACTTATTGAAAAATAAAAATCAGAACTGTATCAGTAAGCATGTATCTTAAAAAAAAAATTACAGAATGATTAAATATTAACATATACATAACTGATATATCAGAGCTCCACTACATTACTGACTGAACAAACAGTAAATACGGAGACCAAAAATATCAGTACCTACAGAAAAAACACAAGATTTTAAAGAAAAATACAAAATGGATTAAAATAAAATAGATTACCTTCCTTCATTGACAAGTTCGATGAAAGCAAGGCCTGCATTCTTCTGAATAGAATTTTGCCACTCCTAAAATAAAAAAACAAAAATAGCTGAAGAAATGTCACTCAGTAGGTTCTTTCTTTTAAAAGAACAATAATGAAAAATGTCACCCATGTCAATTTCATACCTTAACTCTTAAAGTTCTGTTAAGCCATATTAATAGGTGATACAGAATAGTATACTGATACTAAGCAAGTTAGCAACAGTATGATTCTGTGTAAATTAAATGAGCCTATCTATATTTATCTTGCCCTTTCGTTCTACTATATATTAATTTAACTGAAATCGTTGAAAGTTGGGAAAGAAGGTGACAAAGAAAACCAAGGACAAATAGATGTTTTGATTTTGGCTTTGTTTTTGTTTCTCAATTTTTTTTTTAAGGTGTATCATCCAAAATGAAGAGAAGAGAGAATTAAGTAGTTCAATAACCCTAAGAAAGCAGCATAGTTTACCATAAAAGTTGATGACTAGCAATTGAAAATGAGATTAGAAAGATCAGTGAATTGGGCTAAACCAGTTTTGAGTTAGAAAACTATAATTCATTGTCCCATTAATTAGTAATATCTAGTATAAATGCATTAAATATATACTTGATCTATTTGAAATTTATCCATTAAATTTTATCCACTAAAAAGCTATCTATTAAAAAACCCAGGAATCAAGAGGATGTACAAATGAATACTTTAATCCTTATAACTATATATATATATATATACACACACAAACAAATATATATAAGCATTAATACAATAAGCATTAATACAATAAGGAAAGGCCTACATGAATTAAAACATATCTAGATTTGAAAAATATTGGTGAATGCACTTGAGTGTATATGGTAAACACACACACACACACACACACACACACACACACATATAAACACACACAGAGATTTGTTTTTAAAGAGCTGAAAACACATACATAATATTTATATTTCTTAACATGCCAGATTCATATTTTCTGAATGTAATAACTCTAAGGCTTTCAAATTCCATGCAATTTCACCCTAATGACCATTCTGTTCCACTCCAAATTCTTTTCTAGTCTCATCCTTTCTCTTCTATTTTATCTTTCCTATGTCCACTTTTGTACTGCCTTCTTTTGTGTTTTGAAAAAAAAACCAAGGTGATTCTTGAGACTAAAACAATCACGTCATGATTTTGGCAAAGGATTACATTCCATGAATAGTGTTAGTATAATTGTACTAACAGAACATATACCGTAGAATAAAAATTAAATAGAAAATCAGTAAGACATTGGAGGACAGTCACTGGCTAGAACCAGCAAAGAAAAAGTAATGTATTCTTGAGGAATGAACAAGAAACAGAGTCATAAAATCCATGTTCTCATTCTGATACTAACAGAATATATCCTTAGGCAGATCACACTACATCTGTAGGTCTTAGATATTCCCTTTTAAAAGTTTATTCTAGGTACAACAATTTATTATTCTAAAATTTACTAACACTTAGAAGTTCATGACGTAATTATACAATAAATTATCTCTCAAAATTCATACTGAATTCATATTTTACTGAAACTATAAAATTGAGATACTAATTTTTTCCCAATGAGGTAAACCAAACCAATATAAAACAGATATATGAATCTAATTTAAAACCATTTTCTTTCCATCAAAATGAAATGAAACCAGGTAGTCCAAAGGGAAGCAAGCAACTTCCACAAAAGATAATATTCCTGAGAGAAAGGCATGTGCCATATCTTCCTCTCTTTTCAAAAGGTAGGAAAATGATTAAAATAAACAGAAATCTCAATTTTTTTTAAAATTTTGGTACAGAGGGTCCCACATCTCACTTTCCAAGTGCAGCACAGAGAGATAATACGACTCAAAGAGTTACCCTAAACCTAGTAATGCACAAGAACAGAACAGACACAAATTTCAAGATAGATGGACCTCAAACTATCTGATGCCCTAAAAAGTTTCAAAAAATTATCACAGAAGGATGCAGAAGCAGCTTAGAATTTAAGAAGATGAAGAGAACATAACTGGGAACTTTGTGGATGGGCAGCAAGTGATTAGCAAGAATTGTGATACCTCAAGAGATGCCACAGCCAAACAATACAAGCATATGTTCACTCCTCGGCTTTTATACCTAACATAACATTCTCGGCAAGCCAACTAGAAATTTAAAATAATACAAGAATAGAAAGGAAAGTAAGACCTCAAGTTGAGTGAGTTTTCATTTAGATCATTTAATTTACAGAAAACTTCAAAACAGAAACTTAAAGGAAAAAATAAAGAAAATTGCTTTTCTTATTAGAAAAAAAGAAGTCAGTAATTACAGAGGAACTAAAATTCCACATATAAATCTTTAGATTAGTCATTTCACTTTTTAAAGTATCCACTGTCAGGAAAAAGGCAGGAATGTCCCCTCTCACCACTATCTTTCAACATCATACTGGAAGTCCTAGCTAATGCAGTTAAGACAAGAAAAGGATAAAAATTGAAAAAGAAAAAATAAAGCCGTCTTTGCTGATGACATGCTGATCTATATAGACAATCTTAAATAATCTACAAAAAAAAAAAAAATACTGGAATAAGCAATAAACAGCAAGGTTGCAATATACAAGGTTAATTTACAAAGTCAACCACTTTCCTACGTATCTGTAATAACAAGTCACAGACTGGGATAAAATTATTTGTAAAAGACATCAGATAAAGAACTGTTGTGCATAATATACAAAGAATTCTTAAAATTCAACAAAGACAAACAATCACATTAAACAAAGGGACAAAGACTTTGACACCTCACCAAAGAAGATATGCAAATGGCAAATAAGCCAAGATTCTCCACATATCACTGGGGAAAGGCAAATTCAAACTAGATACTACTAAACACCTATTAGAATGGCCAAAATCCAGTACACTGACATCACCTAATGCAAGGAGGTGGTAGAAGAATAAATGAAACCTCCTTCATTGCTGGTGGAAATGCAAAATGATACAGCCTCATTGGAACATAGTTTGGTGGTTCCCAACAAAACTAAACCTACTCTTACCATAAGATCCAGCAATTTCACTCTTTGGTATTTACCAAAGGGAGCTGAAAACTTATAACCACTTAGAAATTTGTACATGAAGATTTAGAGCAGCTCTATTCACAGATGCCAAAATTAGAAGCTTCCAAAATGTCCTTCATAAGGTGAATGGATAAACTGAGGTACAACCAGACAACAGAATATTATTCAGTTCTTAAAAAAAAAAATGAGCTATCAAGCCATGAAAAGACATGGAGAAAATGTAAAAGTATATTACTAAGAGAAAGAAACTAATATGAAAAGGTTACATACTGTATGACTCCTACTATATAACATTTTGGAAAAGGCAAAACTATGGATAAAGTTAAAAAGATGAGTGTTTTAGGGTTAGTGAGAATGGAGGGAGGAAGTGGAGGCATACAAAGGATTTTTCGGTCAGTAAAACTACTCTGCATGAAGCTATAATGATGAAGACATATTATTATACATTTGTCTAAACCCACAGAACACACAACACCAGAGTGGACCCTAATGGAAACTATGGACTTCGGGTGATAATGATGTGCCAGTGTAGGTTCACTGATTATAACACACACACCAGTCTGGTGGAGAATGTTGACAAGAGAGAAGGCTATGCATGTGTAGGGGAAAGGGGAATATAGGAAATTTCTACCTTTTGCTCAATTTTGCTGTGAACCTAAAACTGCTCTAAAAAGTAATGTCTTTTAAAAATTAATAATAAAAAAGTATTTATTAGTACTATTTTTCTCAAATCCATTTGGTCTGATCTGAAACTGCAATGGGAAGGGATTTTTATTGCATAATCCAGACAAAACTCAAAATTCCACATGGATGAAATAGGTAACAGCAGAAAGATCACATATTAAATATACAGGTAAAAGGTAAACATCATTTAGATTTTATTTTCATTATATACAGAAACTTTTACTTACATTGTCAAATCAGAAATTGTGTCATTTAGATTTCACAAAGATTTTAAGTAGCATTATTGAGGTTAGATAGAAAACTAGTTCAAGTTAGTATAACTATCAAAACGTAATCACACTAAACATTTATAATCTAAACTTATCTTGTTATATCACATGAAATATTTATTTTCAATTAAAAACAAGACATGAAGGTACATGTGTAATTGAAGAAGTTCTGTGTTTTATAGACACTCAGAAACTCAAATTTATTACCAGTAATACATTATACTTCTGGTGTTCTCAAGGAAACTCATATCTGTTAACCTTCAGTAATTATTACATAATAACCTGAAATGTTTTCATTAATTTTTAAAAACTGGCTAAAATGAGGAATAAAATGAAAATACAAATCTTACATTTTTGGTTATTTTAAAAATTATCACAAACTTCAGAGATATCATTATGTTTTCATTTCTCTATAATATAGTACTAATTACTAATTACCATTTAATAAAATACCAAATACCAGATACACAAATGCGTAAAAATAACCTATATAAAAAGAATCTGAAGCCAATGAGAATATTTTTTCAATTTTTTTTATAATCCTGGTATTCATCAAAGCCAACAAATTTTCTCCATAATAAAACATTCTTTATAGTAATTCATAGAAATCACCAAAACTAAAAAAAAAATTCATGAACTATGCTATCCTAAAACATTTTTCTCCACTTCAGAAACAATTATCAAGGAAGGTGTTAGTCTAAACAATTTCATAAACCACGGCTCAATATAACCTTTAGCGAGTTTTAATAGTTAAAAGAAAAGCTTTATGGTCATCATCTTTCATGATTGTTTCAATATTTCATCACAGTATTTACAATCATATAGTGATGCAAAATGCACAGTACGTTTAAAAGTCTTGGTTATCCTTTTCCCAGAGGTACTGACGAAAAACACGTTAAAAGCCTCAAATCCAACCACTAATGCAACTGAGTAATTTCAAAACACATTTCAGCACTTTGGAGAGGAAGAACTCAAAACAAAACAACAGAGTCAATAATTTCATACCTGTTCCAAAGCTGTATTTAATTG